GGGGGGGGGGGGGGGGGGGGGGGGGGGGGGGGGGGGGGAGGAGAGGGGAGCGGCATTCTCCCGAGGGTATGCGAAATTTTTTTGGGAAAGTAGTTACCCGCTGCACGCAATTGAATAGTAATAGAGATTATTTTTTGGGGCAAACGTGTCAACTAATGGCATATGCAAAATTTTTCGGAAAAGGTATATGTTTGGGACAGTCTAGGAATGCTCCCCTCGAACGGCAAAGGGTTAACGAGGGAATGGGGCTTAATATCGGATTTATCCTTAATTTTTAAAAATAATTCCTCCTCCTTGTCCTTTTTTTGTGAGTGGTAGAAACAGACAGAACTGGTCCATGTTGTGACACGCGTGCTAACAGCACTCCCTTTTTCTTGGGTTATTAGGAGGGAAGCTAATGCCTTCCCCGTACGTCAGCACCAATTTACCATCAAAACAAATGCACGATTCGTTGAGGAATTTGTTGTTCCACTGGCGGAATTGAATCCTCGATCTTTGGCATGAAAGCAGCATTACATACGTCGTACTGACGAAGTCCAGTTGTACTACTCAATGAGAATGTGTACGGCTTATTGACCGAAATATTCCCTTTCATTTGGTTATATATATATTTTTTTTTGCATTTTACATACAAGGTAAATTTTATGTGCATTTTAACGATATTATTCATGATTTTAAAGATTTGATATATATATTTATTTGTTTATTTATTTATTTATTTATACCATAATATCTTCACCACTTGTGAAAATGTATTTTCGTATGTTATAACTAATACTTTGCCTAGGTATCGGATAACGATGATGATTTTTTTGACCGTTCCATTTTGTTTTTTTCCTGCAGGATTCTGTGATGGATTCGCTGTTTCGAGCGGACGGCGAGCATTCGAAGCTGCTTCCAAAGGTGATCACCGATTTGGAGCTTCTGATTGACAGGAAAGAGTTATAATTGAGTTGTCGATACTAACTACAAAAGCCCGAGGATATCAAGCAGGTGCATTTATTGTAAAGTGCTCGTTTATTCACTTATATGTGTGTACTTTTATGACCGATTTTTTTCTGTTTTGTAAAAATTTATATCTGCTTTTGTCTCCCTGTCATCCCAGTTTATTTTAGCTCCAGGAATTTCAAGTCCTTCTCTTGATTTATTGAGAAATCGAGCAGTCTTTAGCTCGTACTGAACCAGGGGATGGGGTCAAATTTGAAGTAAAACAATATTAAGTTGAACTCCGATGACCTATTTTTTGGATTTCACTGGGGAGGGGAAATATATTTTTCCAAAAATCTCCGCTTAAATTTCGCGTTCGATCCCTTCTATCATTTGTACGACGAAGTATGTCGTCCAGAGTCAAATTACCGCGAAGTTTTGCCGCCTTCCTACGAAGCGCTTTTTTAAATAGCTGTCGTTCGAAATCTATTATTTCTGGCCCCGGTATCTTATTTGTAGCTGGTTTGGCATCTTTCTGCTTCACCGAACATACCTGGCCTCTTCATTATGCCAGAAATGGAAAAATTTTGGATTTTTTGAAAAAAACATGCGCAAAACAATTCGTAACGAAACAATCAGTCAGACCCACTTCCTGGCTGAGGTTTTACTCTTGCTTCGTTCTTCGATCTTGCTGTTTTTTTCCTGCAGCAGATTGCTGCTTTTTCGGTTTCACGACAAAAGTGCAACTGTCTAACAAAGACTGGTTAAGATGCAGAGCAGTTGTGCATGCTCACTATTGTAAAACTGCCGTTTTTTGCCTTCACCAACTACTCATTATTGTCCTGAGTGATGATGTATGACGGTAATTATGTGGTGTGTTATTGCTTTTCTGAATCACTGAATTATATGCTTTATTTAAAATGCAGTACCGTGCTGCACTTTTATTTTACTATATCAGAAATTATTTTGTACCAGTGTATGTAGCCAAATAAATACATGCTACAAAACGCACCACGAGAAAGCAACACATTCTCCTCAAATTGCCTGGCTGGCAGTTTTTTTTTTTTTTTTTTTTGCATATGCAAATGCAAAAACGCATATTGTGACGACGTCGGTGTGCGTATGTCTTTGTATGTGTGTGTTTGTGTCCGAGTATTTCAGCACGGCAACCAAAGGTCCTCGGCACTAAAATTTTGCCATTGGATCCCCTGACCAAGTGCCATCCCTGAACCGTGGTACCAACGTTCATGCGCGTCTGAGCCCTGCGTACGAGCACGCGGAAGTCTTGACGAGGAAATCGCTAACTCAGGGGACCAGAAAAGTTGGGAGGCTGGAATTTTGAGCTGATGTTTCCAGCCCATGTACAACTTAGAGGTATCTAATCCAACCTCCAGGAGTATTTGATCCTCACGTACGGTTCGCGAAAATTTTTGGCGGAGAAATTACTAACTCGGGGACCTGGGAGGTTGGAATTTCAAGAGTGTGTGTTCCTACTTTACATGTAACCTAAATTTATCAAATTCAACCGTCAAGATTGCCTGGTCCTTAGGTACTGCCCCGTGAAAACCTTTAACGGGAAAATCATTAATTCGAGAACCAGGGAGGCTCGGAGGCTGAAATTTCAAGCAGGTTTTCTCTGTCTATACACTATGCAGTTGCACAGTTGACTTCCAGAACCACCGTTTCACAAATTCTAGCTGCCAATTTTCCGAGCGACCCTACTACAGCACGAAATACTGCAAAAACACATGGTAGCTCCCGTGGTGCGCGTCGCCAATGACCCCGGCTGGTCCGACCGATTACTGCATTGCCTAGTCCGTCAACGATCCTGACGTTCGTTTCCTTTTGTCTCAAATCCAATCACTTTTGT